CGTCGCAATTTCCATGAACAGGCAAATACGAAGATCACGATTGAAAAATTATTACTTTTTGATGCTAATTTCTGACCTGAAAAATTTGTTGCAGGATTGTAGATATAAGGTCACAATGTTTATATCAATCTATTAATTAACTAGTAATTAACTAACTTAAAATATTAATTAAGATTAGTATTAATTAAGATATTCGTAAAGTTCTTGTGAAATTTATTTACATAATTGCAGTTTATTTATACGGCATTTCGACAGATATTCGTCACCCCGTGTGAACCATCCTGAGCTCTGCTTACCAAAAATACGCGGTAATCGCGCGATAGTATTAGCAATTGCATACAATTATTAATTAGATTGATATTGATATGATATGATCAAGGTGTTCTCTTCATGGGTAGCAAAAATTATCTTTTAACATATTTGTTGTAAATTACAATAGAATGTGGAACAAACGATTTGTTATAGCGTTTAGTACGACTAGGTAAAGAGCGAATACGGATATGGGATGGGAGAAAATTGTACTCGTTGTAGAGTGGATGATCATTTTGAGAAAGTAGGCGTCTTACCATGGAGAAAACACCTGCATTATACTTAAAATTGAGCTTAGAAGAATCTACTCCTATTGCACGCCCCGCCCTTTTAGTGATCTTCGCCAACAATCCCTTATATTTTTCATATAAGCTAGCTTCCCATATAATCCGACAGAAAGAAATCACACAGAGTATCATTGATTGGTAGAATATATCTAGAATTTCTTTATCAACATTAAATTTCCTAAGTTGCCGTAACATATTGCCGTTATGAATGTACGGTATTTTATAAGATTATTTTTTAAAACAGAATAGAATAGGTAACATTTTATTGAAAAAAAACAACAGATTTTACATCTATAGACGTAAGTTGATTTAATATGCTGAATCATTATTAATGGTATAGGCCTATACTTATTATATATTTATATAAATTAATCAACAAATATCTTATTAATCACACTATCGCAAATAGGCCTATTGAAGTATTATTAATTCTTTATTAAAGCATTATTCGTGCACCTTCATTATTATTTATTATTATTATCATAATTATTATTATTATTATTATTATTATTATTATTATTATGATTATTATTATTATTTTATGTATTATTTATTAACCATACTAACATTGAAAACATGAATTATGTGAATAAAATTATCATAGAAAATAAACTTATAATTTATAAGATTATTTTTTAAAACAGCAGAATATAATACCGTAGATAACATCTTTATTTAAAAAAAGCAGGTTTTGCATAGACGCAAGATGATTATATGCTGATTCATCTAATTAATTTAACAATTTTTATTCATTTCGAGCACTGTTATTATATTATTATTATTATTATTATTATTATTATTACTATTTTATTCTAAATTTTTTTTGTTTTATTTTTGGTTTTACGTATGGGCCTAGATATAATATGTATATATTTAATAATTAGAAATAATTATAATTTAATTGTAAAACATATATAATATAATGTTAAAAATATTATAGGCTAGGCTAGAGACCTAACCAATTATTGATACCATAATCTATAGATAAAACATCCATTTGATAATTAAACAGCAGCTTTTCGAGTGGCAGTGCCGATAGAAAACTGCAGTGTTATGGCACTGCGGCAGTGCCGATAGAAAATCGGAGCTTTTTTTGCACTGCGGCAATAATGCCAATAGAAAATAACAGCTTTTTTCGCATTGTGGCAGTGCCGATAGAAAACAGCAGCTTTTTGACACTGCGGCAGTGTCGATAGAAAACAGCAGCTTTTTGGCACTGCGGCAGTGCCGATAGAAAACAGCAGCTTTTTTTTAGCACTACGGCAGTGCCGATAGCCTCAGCCGTAATCAGAGTGTGTGCTGGCAATTTATCCTCCTCGGAAATAAAGGCCGATTTCCGAGCAGCATTTGTCGAAAATTAGTTTGGAACTATTTTGAATATATAACCAATGTATTATACAGAAGTTAAGTTCTGTGCACCTTTTGCCTAGCCATTTTCTGCGCAAATTTGAGCTAGCTTTTGAGGTATCATCATCCACATTCCACGACGAATAAACTGGCATTTTAATAGGGCCAGCCTGGCCTATTATATAATCACTAGCCAGGTCTAGGCTGCCTTCCAATAGATAGTTCCATGGATCAATCATTAACATGTAAATTACTGTACTTTATTCAAAATAGTGTTCGTCTAATGTTATAGTTCGACTAAATTAAGGGCTTCGGCCTACATCGCGCCAGGCAGTAGAGTAGCATTCCGTATTCTATACATGATACAGTACTGCATACATATGCTAGGCTATGCCTACACAGGTAAGACAAGTTGGTAACAAACCTATTTAACGCCATTTCTAAGACCACTTCCAAGACTTCCATATTCCAACCGGCAAACGTATTTGTTCGAAAGATTCATTCTTCAAAAATGCAATCGACATATTAAATTATTATTATTAAATGTTTTCGCCAATCCCGATTTTTCAATTTTCCACTCGCGACGACCATTCTCATCATCAGTTGGCTGCAGCGTGACCACTCACAATTTTTAATATACCCAATGGATGACTGGGTCGAAATTACCCAAGATTCAGCAAAAATTGCCCAAAATTACCCAAGCTTCCTGAAAATGCATTAAAATTTGAAAAATACGTGTTTTTCGCATGTATAGTTTCCCTTTTAGTTCAATTTATAAACAAATGTTGTATTGTAATTGTTTGTGTTAATTGCTGCGAAGCAGCCAATTCATATTCTCGACAGCAATTTGACCTCTGAAAGGTCATTGTTTGTCAAAAAACGAGTGCCTAAGACGACTGAAAAGCGGAGTTTCCTTCTTTCGTTCTGCCGGGTAAAATCAATTACTTTAGGCGATGTTTGTAGACTAACCTACTCGTACCAATGCACAGTGGGCCAGATTGAAGTCAAAGCGTGCCAAAATTAATTACTCATTACAGAAGCTAACCTGAGCGAATACAAGACTTATCTAGAGGTTTTCATACCCGTAGAATTCAATAAAAGCATTTTCAAATTTATGTGACGTCATTTTTGTACTGTTTTCTGATTGGACGATGTCAGTTTTCATTGTAATACCAGGGAACAGTGAAATTACAAATTAATTTTGAAATGTTTAAGGAGGTTTGGGACAAAAGAACTACTGTGGAAAACTTTTTGTATTTTCCATGACATCATCAAAATACAGTTTTCTGATTGGACGGGGCCAAAAGTGGCATAGGCCAACATTAAAATTTCTATTGTTAATCTTACAGTGAATATAAATCAAAATCAAAATTCATAATTCCAGACAACCTAATTTTACATTTTTTAAATGTGTGTTTGCATCTGAGATTCCATGGAATTATCAGACATTGCCTACACCAATGTCATGATAATGATAATCATATATTGTCATATAATTCCGTCCCCAATCGTATTAGGCCTATATTGTAAAAGTATCGATAGTGGTTGTTTTATGGTGTTTTTTTTTATAATTCTCAGTGCAGTATGAACAAGGAGGCTTTGAAGAGGAACTTTTGCTGTCCTCTTTGACAGGTATACTGTACCACCAGGATAGCAATGCTTTTTTGCTACTATTTATTTTGGTGTAAGGAGGAGTCTCATTTTACTATGGAGCTACAAAGATGGACAATGTTTCATCTGTCGTGAAAGATTCCAGTTTGCGCCTCAGGGGTGACGCCAGCAGGGGGAATGGGGCAGGGTCCCCGTTGAGGAAAGCTTCCCCCTCCCCCCACCCCGGCGTTGGGGAGATAAACTACAATTCGTCAGGGAGAAATAAAATGTGTATGTATTTTCTACATATTAGTAGACTCTAAAATCGATTCTTCTTGAATACCCCTTGCAATGCTGCAAGAAGTTCAGTGCGTACATTTTATGTCAACATCTCTTGTACTTTACCCTTGTGCGATCTCTCTGAAAAGATCCCACCATACTTCGATAGGACGTCCCGGTTTGGGTCTGTTTTAAGTCTGTTGTGGGTTTTCTGCTGGTGTGGAAAGAATATCTCTGTTCTGTGTCAAAACATTAATAACTTCATCAGAAAATGGAATCCTGTTGTCAAGCCACGAGTTATTTTCTTTAGAAACCCGGAAAACACGTGTTTACGTTCTTATAACGTTCTTATCGAACGTTGT